CCCCAAAACCCCAAAACCCCAAAACCCCAAAACCCCACTTTTAAATTAAATTGTTGAAATCTTGAAATTAAGAGTCTGCTCCATCACGGAATATTTTAGTCCTCTGCTTCTTCCTTTTCTCTCTATCCTTATGAATTTGTTTAAGCATATCTGTTAAACTGGTCTTACTTGGCGATAATTTACCAGTTGCCAGTGTTAAACTTTCTATGATATTAATGTTTAAACCTACTTTGAACTGGGCTATCTGGGATCTCGATTATGGTCTTCTCCTGGTCAGCCATTTCTGCAAGGGTCATACCTGTTTTCATCTGTGAGAAGTAATCTGTCTTTGAAGTGGCCTGAGAAGGCTTCTGAGCCTTAGTCAGCCCCTTGGGTGGGCATAGGGAAGAAGGCTGGGGCATTGCCTGGAACTTCTTATCCACAATCATCTCATGGTCAGATACATTCAGCCCTAAAAGGTTAGTCTTGAGTAAGGCAAAAGGAGACTTACAGCTATCCTAGAGAAATTAGAAATAGGAATACTTACTGTGATGTTACTGAAACTGTCACTTGTATAATCAAAAGAAATATTCGCAGTGTTTTCATCATCTTCTTTGTGGATCTTGTTCTGTAGTTGAAAAATTTGTTCATTACGCAGATTTTCAAGAGCCTTACTTCTGGCTTTATTTAGACCTTCTATAATGTTAGGAATAAGATTTTTGGTAAAGTGAAAAAATGTTAAATCATTTTATACAAAAAAAAGTTGTAGGTAAAGTGCTCTGAAATTTTAACAGATTCTTTTGAATATTAACTTACCGTTTAGTAGTCTCAAGGTTAAGAGAATCTGCTGAAGACTTTTTCCCATCGTTTTTTTTCGCTTTGCTTTTGCCATTAGTATTCTTAGTCAAACCTTCCGCCTTATTTGAGCTTATTGTAATTGGACCAGAACTGTGCGTCAGTCTTAAACTCACTCCTCCTTTTCCATAGATCTGCAAGTTTACTCTTGTCATATCCCTGACCACTAGACCCATCAACACAAGGGAAGTCACTTTCTTTAAATGTTTCTTTAGTAATCGGATCAATATCTCCTCTGGCAATTTTTTGAGCTTCGTCCAAAGGAAGAAAAGATCCCCAAAATTTGCTATCTTCAAACTCTCTGTACCACTTCTCAAGGGGATGGCCTTCAACTTGGTTCAGGTTCACTATTTTTTTCTGTTCAGGGCAATACACTAGCTGGAAATGGAAGGTAAGATATGCTTTCTTAAACTCATCTTTGTAGTTATCAGGCACTTCCGATGTAAAATCTTCAAGAAGCTGGGGATAAATCTTATCAAAAGTCTCATACTTCTTCACATATTTGATAGCTTTATTTTAATCCAACTCCTTTGATGGAAGGGAGATAGTCTCATCCACTCAGAATTCAGGCGGTCTTGAACATATCATCAGTGAAATCTGCAAATGCTTTGATTTTTGTGTAGTTAGTCATATCGTACTCATCAGCTCTGCCATTTTTATCAAGTTTGTAGAATGCTCTTTTCACTCCAAAACAAAGTAGATCTGAGTCCTCTGTGTTTACTGCAGAAACAATTCCTATAGATGAAAGCATAATTCTTACCTCTAATATATAGGTATGCAAGTTGTGCATCCGCCTCATATGGGGCAACATAGTATTCAATCTTTCTTGAGCGAAGCGAGGATATCCATAATCTGGCTAATCTTGGAGTAACATCAACTGCTTGATCGTACTTCTTGGAACATCTAAATACAAATAAGTTTGATTTAGCATAACTACAGAAAAGTGAATTTTCTTCTTAAAAGTCTCGAATAGTGGAATTGAAAATCTAATAAGACTGAAGTCAAGATTATGCCTTTTCTTGACGATCAAAGACAGTTATCAATGAGCAAAATCATTGATGTGTTAGCTATGCACTTACCATAATCCTGTGGTCTTCTCATATCTGATAGCTTCTTGTAACTTTTGATTCCTCGTTCTAAAAGATTACTGAAAATTGCTTACTCTTGTCTTTCTTCTTCAGTTTTCTTATTTAGCTAGAAGTCTATAATACATCAGTTTGATAATGACTTACTTGCCACCATCAAAAACAATCACTGGAATGACTCCTTTGGAGATCATTAAGTCGATTCTTTTGTTGCAGTACCTCACGACTTTGTCATAACTTTTCCCATTGATGACTTCTTTGGAACAATTGTAGGTTCCTTTATGGAGCCAACAATAGGCGTCAACGCCTATTTTCTTGCCTTTCTATAGAAAGTAAGAGGTTATTGGAGAAAGGCACTTACTCAGACAGATATGCTCTGGTTCTTCTTGACCTCGTCAAGCTGTTTCAATAGATCTTTTATCCCCATTTTCACTAAATATTATATATTTATGGTAAAGTATGATTCTTCTTATATATCAATGCGTGGAAGATAATTCGGGGTTTTGGGGTTTTGGGGTTTTGGGGTTTTGGGG